GTTCATAAATCTATTTGAATTGCTTAGTGTATAGAATCAGGAGGAGGGTTTCTTGCTTCAGACTATTAGTGTCATACAGTAGGGAAGCATGTAAAGCAGTGAGGCCTCCTTTGCTGAAAAATGATCCTAGCCGCATGTGACGGAGCTGAAGCCATAAAGCTGCCCACTCCATCACGGCTCCTATCGCCGAGATTGATCAGGCCCGCTCCCATTTGAGTGATTTCCCTCCGGATTCGATGCAGCGCAATTAGTCGCATGCCCGTATTTTGCTTCCGCGCTGCTCTTTGACCCTCCATCGCACGTATGAGTCAGTGCAGCACTCTGCCGATATGAGTTCCCCTCCTAACAGCTCCTGTATTTGCACAGCCCATCTCCTCCCGGCCTCTCAATACCGTCCCTCCCGACGCCGCTAAAGAGGATCACGGATCGCTGGCGGGCGGCCAAGTCGCTGTACCTGCTGAGATGGAATATAGCCTTGACCATCTACGGTGGGGTTAGCACCAGTGAAAGTCTGTGTCTCGCTCTGAGTGCGCTGTGCCGGGAGTTTCTCTCAGACTGCCAGCCTCAGCAGCGAAACGTCGTCACAAGGCCTTTCCTGACCTCTTTGGCTCCTGATGCTGACTGTAAAAACAAAAACTCCGCTCCAAAAGTGATCTCCTTAAGTAAGGGTTTCCAATCCAATTTTACGCAAGGAGAGTGCTTAAGATTAGAGATAGTGTTTTTTATTGTGCTCTCCAGTAATAGGAGTAGAAGGGGTGAAAGGAGAGATAGAGGGAAGGAGGGAAAGAGGAATGGAAAGGATGAGAGATCGATAAAAGCTGCTCTCTCTGGTTGCCTTTATTCTTCGTCGTCATGTCCGTGGAGATGAGGTTTAGGCGGCTCGTGGCAGCAGGCCATGTAAGGGGGGCATTAAAGTGCCGCAGAGGGACCTGTTCTTTCCCCATAAACAGGCCTGCAGGTAGAGAAAACGCTCACCGGGTTCCCAATATAACGCGGCACTCGTCCGCAGCCACAGTGAACAGCAATCTCTTTTCAGTGGAATGAGACGTGCTGTGTGTACCTGACTGGTGCGTCAGGGAGGGCTTTTCATTAGGCGCCATGGATTATCTTGACGGCGGCGAGCCGGGCCTTGCGAAAAAAAAAAAAGGGTGCGTGGTCGCACTGGGACGAGCACAACTCCCCTGATTTGCATGGTCCTTTTTTCTTCTCCCAGTTCATTTCCAGTTGAATAACTCGTTTGTCACATACATCAGAGGAAGGCGAAGATCATACGAGAGCCAGCGTTACTTTGTGTTTCACTAATGAGGCCTGTACTCTCCGCCTCCTTGCATTTGCCTTGCTGCCCCTTTGAAACACAGCAGCATGGTGCTACAACTCTTTAGTAGTTTTTCTTTCCCCGATACCGAGCTCCGGGCTGTCATCCTGTTTGCGTGTCACTCGGCTCCGTGTGTCCTGTGAGCGTAACGAGTCCGATCCCGACCCGAGCACAAAGGGACACTCCAAGGCAGATGACGATTTAACAAGTTTAGTAGAACATGTCATGAGTAATGCGGAGCTGGGGCACGAAGATGAAACAGAAGAGTGAACAGTGCCGTTCGTGAGGAAAGTAAACTAAACCACGGGTTTCCCTAAAGTGAGGAACTGACAAATAAATAACCGAGGATATAGCAAACAAGAAACTAAAACCAAAAGCTTTCTTACAACACTCAGCAGAAACAGGAAACAGAACAAAGCACTCATAAAAAAAAAAATGTCATGAAGGAAACCATTTTCATTTCATAACCAGACAAGAATCCACAGAAAACCATCTTGGAATATCGTCAACAACAGCTGATGATTAATGCCACAGTCCACACTCTCACACAGTGTGTTTTTACATATCTCACTCTGATCATATTTGGGATACCACAGCTACATGGAACACAAAGGATCCCGACTATTGAACTCCGTGTATACATGATTCCAACATTTTCCACAGTTCTGACTGTGTGTTGCTGCAGGTGTGTGTGTGTGTGTCTGTGTGTGTGTTCCAACTTAGTTACCCAACCAGTTCAGGACGAATCACATTTGGTCTCTGGCGACCAGGACCACTGCTGCGTTGACCACAAGATGTAATCACTAGTCAGGGAAAGACAAAAGCAACACCGCCGTCTACCTTCAGACTTTCACTGTCAATTGGGGCAAGCAGATCATAGCGTGTTCATCATTACATGTTGAATTGAGAACACGCCCATGCGCAGTGATCGCATGAAATACGAAAGTCCAATCGAAGTAATAACGCGCACGAGTGTGAGGTAGGGTTGTCAGACAACCAAACATGGCAATCCTGAGGTATCGCTGTGACGTGATCTACCAGCAATACATGCCTGCCTGTATTTGATTGGACAAAACAGTGCGTTGCAGCCGAAGTTGAGACACGTTCAACCTTTCTTTTTTTTTTTTTTTTCCCGGCTGCGCTGTTTGGCCGGACTCCTGCGGTGCTAATGCGTGTGCCTCCTCGAAAACACTAATGAGGAGTCTGAGCTTTTTGACGGCCTAAGGTGCCGACGGTATCCCGGATCCAACCAGTCAGTAGTCCAGCTATCATAATGAGGCTTCTCAGAACTGGAATAAGGATTGTGATGCTTATATGGCGATGTTTTCCCAATCATAACCTTGGTATTATATAATCGCACTCCTCAGCAAATCCCTTAAAAAACACTGATGAGGACCATGGGCGTCGTCAGTCTTGACTGTGACTAACTAAAAGATCAAAACTGGAGCTTTGATCTCCTCCGTGACATGACCAGTGTTTGATGTACAGTCAAACACAGCACCTTCTTGTTTCCAGGCTGCTGAGCTTTCCGTCTCCACCGGACAGTCGAGTTACCAGCGCGTTGATGGTTTGCTCGGGCTGGTTCAAAGCAGGACACGGGAACACTGGTAGTACTTTCAGCTGTCATACCAGGAGGTGCATCTTTTTTTAGGTAACCAGCCCCATTCTCCTTTAAAATGGGTGCTTAGAAGTTGAAAATTGCCAACATCAAGAGCTTCCTTGAATTAGAATGCCCCGCAATGCAAGTGTGTTATATAATGCCATGACTGGAGGGAGAGGAAAAGTAGAGCACAGGGGTAGAGATTAAAAAAGTTTCTGCATAAAAAGAGAGAGAGAGAGAGAGAGAGAGAGAGAGAGAGAGAGAGAGATGGGGGAGGGGGGGGGGGCATGAAAGGGAAAAGGGGGGAGGAGGGATTGAGGGAGAGACAGAGGAGCTAGAAGTGTAGCATAATGAAAAAGAGAAGGGTGTGTGGGGGTGGGGGTGGGCAGGGTCAGGCAGGAGGAGTGAGGGTCCGGTCCTGCAGCCCTGAGGCCCGGCAGAGGCTGCAGGAAGCCGGTCAATCCTTCTCCCCTCTCAAGGCTTCGCTCTTTTTTCATTTAGATAATGGAGCATTTCCTTAATTGGCAGAGCCCAGTTTATGCTGAGGTTTGTTTGCCAACACGTCAGAGTAGAATTATTTCCACTACATTTACAGCGTAGTGTTGCTCAGCTCTCTCTCTCTCATTAAAACCACAGCCTCCTTTCCTGCCCAGATAGAGCTTTCTGTGGAAATCTGCAGAAGGAGGCCAAACACCACAGCAGCAAAAAAAAAAAAAAAAGAAAAAAAAAAGAGAAAAGAATAAAACACATTTATCTCCTATCTCACCATCCCCAGCCAGCTTGTAAAGGAAGGGACAGAAACTTCTCTATCTGTTTACTGTTATTGTTTTTCTCCAATCATAAACCCTTACTTCTGGCTGCTATTGTGTGCTTTTCCCTCCGTCCTCTCTTATCGAAAGAGTTATGCGTTGGGCTCGCATGATCTGTATCTTTAAATTTGATTGAGGGTATTTGCAGGGGGTGTTATTGGATTTTGGTGTTATTGTCTCACCTTTTCCCTCTGTGTTTTTAATGTCGGGATGGATATCCGCTACAGCAGCACTGATCTTACTGTTCTGCTCATTAGTCTGGATTTGCAGAGCCTAGTGCTTCGCAACAATAAGACATGCACTTCTGTAGTCCGGCCATTACCGAGTTTAACAATGTGCACCAGCCAGAAAAGTCCATTATTTCTGCAGCTCATCATCTCAAGCATCCACACGAGACAAAGGGTGTGTGAAACTGCTTCATTGAAAAGGGGCTATCTATCACTTAAGTCGGGGGCAGAGGCTAAAAAACATATGTGGTGTGGATAACACATACTGCGTGTTCTGGAAGCATACGGAAGAATGGGAGTTATATGAATCAGACAAGGCTTGGTAGCACATTTATTTTGGGTACTGACTGAAATGTGAAGCAGCGCAATGCTTGGTCACATTCTTAGTCTTTCTTGATTTAAATTAAAATGTTGCAAGTTTTTGACGTTACATTTTGCCAAGGTTTCTTGGTGCGTTTGAGATTTCAAAAGAGGTACCAAAAAAAAAAAAAAAAACAGAAAAGTACCGTTGCAAAACTTTGGTATCGTTTTGGCATCTGTATTCCAAATGATAGTCTGAGACAGAAACAAAGGAAAGCGGTAGTGAGCGGGAAAAAGGCTCATAAAGCGAGGAGGAGGTTGGTGTTAAAAGTAGGAAAGTGGAGCTTGGAGAGGGAGCAGCTGCCAGTTTAACAGACCTGTCATTGAAATCAAAAGCCCTAATCAAAATTTTATCAATTAATTGATCTTTCCTCTTGTGCTTTGCCACAAGTGCAATTGAGATTCCCCCTGACTCTTCCCCCCTCCAACAGCGAGCCATGCTCTACAACATAAACTGTGTTCATTAGCGATGATCAAGGAATTCCCTAATCTGAGCTGAGACGTGATATGATAGCTGCCTCCCCCTGACTTCGTTGGTCTGCAGGACAAGTCTCCCCCGGTTGCCGTCCGAATCGCACAGGGGAGCTCACACGTCTGTTAATGCTGGTTGCACAACTCAAACAATGCACTTAAACTTCAATCTCAACTCCTGTTCTAACACTTCGCCTCCTGTTGTGTGTCTCTCACAGGGTAACCAAGAGGCCACTAACCCCCCAGAAGCGATGGCCCAGCCGTACACCCCAGCCCAGTACCCACCCCCCCCACAGAATGGTATCCCCGCAGAGTTTGCGGCACCGCACCCGCTTCCAACACAGGACTACACCGGGCAGAGCCGGGTTCCCGAGCACGCCATGACCCTCTACACGCCCACACAGACGCACAGCGAGCCGGCTGGCACTGACAACAGCACGCCCGCAATCACCGCCACCACGACCGCACCGGTCAGTGTCCTCCATCATCTGCAAACACTGTTCTCAACAGACTGTCAGCAAGTAAAATATATTAATATTATCTTTTTTACCTTTTTTTTTTTACATAACATTGTGTCTGATGTTTAGAGAAAAAGTATAGGCTACTGTTAAAGGTCCCATATTGTATAAAAGTAGATTTGCATGTGTAGTTTGATTATAAAGCAGGTCTAGGTTCTATATTAATACTGTGAAAGTATCAAAGCCTCAGTCCACAGAGAAATGCACACAGCCTGTATTCAGAAACTGAGCCTTAAAACCAGCCGTAAGGATTCTGGAATTCTTGGATGTTAAAGCAAAGCAGGCACTGCTCTCAGCCATGCCCCAAGCCCCGCCCACCTGGACCCACCATCCAACCTGGCAGGATTTGGTTTCTCTGAGTGTGTAACGTGAAATCTGCTATATTTTTATAAGATCACTCAGAAAACAAGAGCACCTCCTCTCTTCTGATTGGCTGACCTGTTGTTACTACAGCTCCAGAGAGAAACCCGTGAGAGGAGATGTAAAACTACATTGAGATGTGTAAAATATGGGACCTTTAATGCTCAAAACTTTTTTGAAGGTAGCATATACATTATTTTTAACATCAATGTGAGCTTGCCAATTTGTGAATGTTGACTTTTTATCATTAACGAAAGAGATGCTAACGTGTGTGAGAAAAGATGAATCTTAAATGATTTGTTTGCTACTTGTTTCCCCTCCCTGACTCCCCTTGTGTGACTAAGGAAAGTTTCGACCACAGCTTTAGCATCATTCGTGCTCCAACAAGTCTGCCTACTTTCTATTTTGTGCCCTAATGCAAATTTACACATGATTTTAAACAAGATATAAAGAGATTACTGCAACAGACGCTACAAGATAATTTGATTTATTATGCAAGTATAATCCCTCTGTGTCAGTGTAATATATATTTTAATTTTTGGTTGTCTTTCTTAAGTGAAACCCTGTAGCGCCATTATGTTTACCCAGAGCTGCATCTGCAAATTTTGCAGTGGGACAGTACTGTTGTGATGGAGTACATCAAAGCCCCAACCCTGGATACACATACTCCTCACTTGCCAAGTCATTTGTCCTTTTATTTTTTTTTCTGCATCGCAAACACAAAAATGACCTTTCTTAATAAAAAAAAAAAAAAAAAAAAAAAAAAGAGTGTTGAGAGTGAGAGCCAAGCAGAGTGAGAGTTACAATATACTGCACATTAGTGAGCAGCAGGAGACGTGGATGTCACGGCAAAGCCCGGTCCTTGACGATGGAGGTGAACTTGATTGAAGGTGCGCTGATGAAATGAAAGTGCGTTTCTGAAGAGCCTTAAAAAAAAAAAAAAAAAAAACCTTGTAAACCTGCGCTGTTTTATTTATTTGCGTGAAGGTAGATTAGACATGCCGTCGACATGAATGATTCAGGACCTCTGACAGGAGGATACACCCTCGCCCCATGATTTTTTTTTTTTTCTTTTGGTCACAGTTAAAGGAGCAAAAGAGAGATGCATTTTTTAACCAGCCCAAAACTGTTATTCAGTCAAATCAGCTGACCCTCTCTAAGTGCATCCAAATGTTTGAGACTTTCATCTAAACATTTTATCTTCTAGAACTGTGCCAGAGCCTGATTATACTCCTTCTTTTTTTTCCCCACTCCTTTTCACCTCATCATAAGAGTGCATATGTTTAAGTTATAGGCACTCTGAGTGGAAAACAAACCCCTGGCAATGCAGCTCGTTTAGCTTGGAAGTGAGTGAAATTCTAAATTATACATTATACATTTCATTCCTGTGTACAGATATGAGATGCCTTGACCTGAGGTTTACCTTCACAAGAAGCAGATGTAGATAAAAGGGAGGACGACTTAGCTCCAAACTTTAGAGACATGTCTAGAAAGATGGATAATGCTGGCAGAGATGAAAAAAAAAAAAAGACCTTCAGACCTTCTTTTTTCCTTTAGCATGAAAACACCTGCTGAGAGAGGTCACGGCGAGGCCACAGCCCTCCTGAGAGAGATCTGGGTCACTCATAAAGAACACTGTTAATAACTCCATTTTCCCAGCCTCACAATTACCGTACGGCTACGAACATTTGGCGGCAGGGGAAAGTGCTTATACGGCACAAGCACAGCGATAGAGCTGCATGGCGCATTATCATCGGCCTGTAATGTAGCAATGTTTGATTTGAAGATTTGTGTGACGCTCTCCAACTGCTCCACGGTTATGCGCCGCACTTACAGTAATGGCTGACACACAAGCGAGTTTAAAGTGAGGAGAGACTTGGCAGGAGGTTTCAGCCTCCTCCTCCTCGTCCTCCTCCTCCTCCTTCCCCCTCCGACACTGTACACCACTCCGACACTCTCTATCCCTCACCGTCTTTTCTCTCTCTCTCTCTCTCTCTCTCTCTCTCTCTCCCTCTCTCCATTTCGCATTTGATTTCATTTCATCTGTTCACCCGCTGTGAAGAAAGCCCAGAGATGGTGGCCAAGGGGAGATGAGAGCTCGCCTCGCCTTCCTTCATGCTCTTCCTCTTTTGCTCCGTCCCCGCTTTCCTCCATCTACATTCTCGGCATCCACGCTCTCCCCACTTCCACCCATCTTTTCTCAGGGAGGACAGAGAGATGAGATTAGTGGGGTGTAAACAGAGAGGCTAATCCTCGGGGGCCGCTGGTGTAGTGTCGCCCACCGCTGTGTTCCCCAGCTTTAATGACAGACCCAGCCTGTTTGCTCTGGGTGCCACAGACGGGCCCGGGTGCCTTTGATTAGGGCACCCTGCAGAAACACAGATTGAGGGAGCAGATCAGCTACTCGATGCGACACCCCCCCCCACCCCACCCCCTCCCTTGGCTCGACTATGCTGTGCTCAGCTCCTCTACCCCACGACGATGCTTTACTCTGCACATCTACTCGACTTAAAGACTTAAAAAGAGTCAAGAGAGAGTGAAAATTCAGTGATACGTATGGATTCTGTGTGAATTCCCTGCAGAGAATGGAGAGAGTGTATGTTTTAATGAGGCGCAGGGACTCTCTTCACTTCTCCTCTCTGTTTCTGTCTGTGTCTACCAGTCCCCCCCCCCCCCCCCCCCCCCCACGCCGTCTATACTGGGAAGGTGGCGTTGTCCAGAGCCAGACCTCTGGGACCTCGCTCTGTGCCATGTTCAAACAAGCTGACTTGAAAGCGGGCGACTTGAGGAAGAGAGGCAGCCCCCAACTTTTCTCCAAATCCTTAGAGATGAGGGTAACAAGAGGGCTGCCAGGAAGCTCTGCTGGAGAAAAAAAAAAAAAAAAAAAAAAAAAAAAAAACTGAGCTCGTTATCTGGCTCAGTTCAAATAGTCTGAGGTTTGGTTGAATTTCATGAGTAATCATTCTCTTTTCAGATAACAAATTAAGGCAGTGGCGTTAGGGCAGCACTCAATTCCAGATTTTTCACAGCCCGTGTCAGCGGCATGAAGACTTTCCAAAGGGTATTCTGGGTTCTCTCTATAACATAGAGACACACACACACACACACACACGCACACACACACACACACGCACACACGAACACACAAGGGCATGCTGAAAACATGGGCGAACACATGCAAACATTCACCACGTACACGCACACACACACGCTCTCGTCGCTCACGAACTGTGTTTAAGGGATCGGGACTCCACCAGGGGTGTAGCTTTCAGAGGCGGTGCTGATGGCAGCACGCAGGCCTGCATTACAAATATTACGTATTATCTGCAAGTGGGAGGAGCTGCTGATCCCCCACCCCCAACACACCCCCACTGTAAATCCCCATTTCCAAAGATATTATAGATTTCCTCAGTGTAAGAACTCTCCTGGATTATTTAAAGGATAACATTGGTGATATTCTATGTTTTTCATTGTCAACAAATCGCATGAAAAATAACTCCGCTACACCAACACCTGTCATTTAAAAAAGTTATGAACCCAACTGAGGTCCGTACGGAGCTGTAGAGAATCGTTACACTCCTAATAAATATACAGTTTGATTTTTGAAAAAAAAGAAAAAATAAGGCTTTTAGTGGTTTCCTACAAAAAAGCTGGACACTGTAGTTTTTTATCAAACACGCAGGGGGAACAGTGCATTTGCTGGGGACTGTTTTTAGCGGATTAATCCACATTTGGTGCTCTAGTGAATATTTGGGGCAGCAGGATGGTGTGTGTGGGACTGAGTCAAAACAAACGTTTGTGTGTTTGTGTGTGTGTGTGTGTGTGTGTGTGTGTGTGTGTATGTATGGTAATGGAAGAACATGTCACACAGTGGCAAAGAGGAATACCATATACCAGGCCTTGTTAGTAGGACACCTCATTGTTTCATTGTTGGTTTGTTATTTTGATGGATTTTGTTGACTATATAAAAAAAAACTATATATGCTTACAATTTAAAGATACAGTAGGTGGTAATGCTGTGGCCATCACTTTCAATTGTTTATATTTATACATTTATTTCAGAGAAATCATTTTCTTTCTGCTCTAAACACAACATCACCGATCACCCTCAGCCGCCGTTATTAGAAGAGCCCGTCAGTTACAGCTGAGAACCATTTTTGCAGATTTCATCCAAAAAGTTGAGCCGGAATCTGAACTTTTAGCTCAGTGATGCTTGTTATCGAAATGGGCTTGTATCTGTGATATTCTCATATCCTATATTTTCTAACACAGTTGCTCGTCTTCTCGTATTTTTCAAGTCCCAGAGATTCGCGTCCATCCAAACCTTAGAAATGCCCCAACAGTCAATCACCGCACATTGTCTGTGCAGAAATTGAACAGGACTTTAACTGTCCCCTGAACGCCTCAAATAACTCCTCCCCCTCTACCTTTTGCTACTTTAAATGAATCCTGAGGGGGCGGGCAGTGCTTCTACTCCACACTCACTCCCTTCACACCCCCCCCCTGCTGTCTCAGGTGATGGAGGGGATATATTTGCAGCTTCTTTAGAAAAGGAAAACAAACAGTGGAGGAGCGGGAGAGGAGAAATAATGAATTAAAGCTCAGGCATTATAATTCTTGTGAGCGAAGACTCAGTATCCCCTCCCACCCCTCCCCCGCCCCCCATTTAATCGGATGTAATCTACCTGCTTGGCAGCATTCCAATCAGATAGTTTCAATTATGCTCTTGTAATGCCACTCTGCGAGGAGGGGGAAAGTGCTGAGCAGAGCACTTTGCAGGCGATTTGCAAATAACAGCAAGGGAGTCTTTTAGAGAAATGACTGAGCAGGAAGCCGGAGAGTTGCCGGAGTTGACAGCTCTCTCACTCTCTGGTTTGCTGGCTTCGGCGGTGACGGTGTGTTTTGCATCCCTCCTCCTCCTCCTCCTCCTCCTCCTCCTCCTCCCCGTGACAGCAGCTGTCGGGACAGTAAAGTGCCACTGAAGGTGGCCTCCTATGGTAATACGGAGGTAATTATTTTCCACTGCAACACCACCATTTCACAACCAGGCAGGCAGGTTGGAGCCTCGGGAGCGACGCGCAGAGGCAGGCATCCCGGATCTCAGTGACACTCCAAGTTATTGAGTTAGTAGGATGCAGTCTGGGGTGCTTGGGAGTCAGCAATTCGGCATTTGTGTTCTCCGTATGTGTATTTGCCCCCGATGTCAGCGTGCTGCCGGCCTGTCTGAGCGCAGAGTGAAAGTTAATCTGGATGTTTGCAAACACGCAACTGCGCCTGCCGTGATAAAAAGCCAGACAGACAAGAGCTGGAGGACAGCGGTGCTCAGTAGTCTGGCAACATACGCTAAAGGTCGATAGTGTCATGTGTGACCGATGAAACAGATTGACCCGCGGGGCTCTGGTACCTTGTCACCCTCCACGGTCCCAGCATCTGTCTGCAATGTGTCACCCCCAGGGCCCAACATGGCTACTCAGGCTATTAACCTCCAGCGCGCGAGGACACGGCAGAGTTAAGACCCCTCCGCCCGTCTCTCTCTGTCACAAATCCACTCCTTACCAGCCGGCCCGGCCGGCTCGCTGCGTTTTCCGGCTCCCGTGTCCTTCGCCACTTGTTAACCTCTGGTCTGGATACCGCCAGACCCAGGCGGGACTTAGGAAGCTGCCACCAACCTGCCCTACCTGGATCGCTGCAGGGGAGACAAAGTGGGACCTTGAATCAAACAACTGTCACTGTTAACAATGTATGTCACCGTCTCGGAATGGGCCATAAAAACCAAATAAATGACAGCCATTACAGTGGAGATTGTGATTATGATAATGAGAATAATAAAGGCGATCATCATTACGATCATGATGATAATGATAATACTGTGATGATGAATTATAATGAATAAATCCCTACCCCATTTCCTAAATGGTGGGAAATGTATCACTAAGAGAGGCCTGCAGCCATCTGACAGCCTCAGAGCAGGGTGAGGGACATCAGTGTGTGTGTGTGTGTGTGTGTGTGTGTGCATGCGTGTGTGCGTGTGTGTGTGTGTGTGCGTGTGTGTCATTTGAACCATTTGTACTCCGGCAACAACCTACTCCCTTTTCATGTCTGTATCTCGGTACAAGATTGTGTCTGTGTGTGCGACTGCCCAGCCAGTGTATAGTGTGTTTGCCATGCTCACAGAGCACTTCCCAGGAGACCTTGCAGTTTACATATCACGTTCAAACAGCTTTTGTGCTCAATATATATTCCACTCTCCTGTTTCTCATCCTCCCCTCCTCGTCGTGGTTCTTTATTTAGTCCCTTCCCACAGTCGCCGGCACTAAATCTCAACTCATTTCTGTTCGTTTTCATCATTTGCATTTGCGTCACAGCTTAGGTTGTTTGTTCACGCGCTCAAGACGAACTTTGTGCACGTTTTCCTGAGGAGTGACCTCCCGTCGTCGGGCCACAAGAGCAATTTGCCGCTCTCTCCTGGAAACAAAAATGGAAGCCGTTGCGATGCGGTTATAGATTAGCAGGGAGGAAATAAGGCAAACGGTTTTGTGTTTGACTTTGACACCACGTCTTTGCTGTTCACCTCCTGTCTCCTGCCAACAAGTGTGTGTAGGTCTCTGTTAACCAGGACTGGAGATACACCTGCTATTACCTATACAGCTCACCAATTAACAGGGTGTAGCCTGTTTGCTTTATTTGCCCAGTCGTTATGCTAAGCTAGGCTAGTTGTCTCCCGGCTCTAGATCCATATTTAATGCTCGTACGTGAGATTGAAAGTGATGTTGTGATTTAACTCTCTTACAGAAAGCAAATAAACACACCTTCCAGAATGCTGAACTGCTCGTTTAACCAAACAGTGTTTTAGTGTCTTCAATTTTACCAGCCCTTAACCACAGAGATGAGAGGTCAGAAAACTGCAGACAATAAGTGTAACAGTTCAATGCATTTTGAAAGACACTCAAAAAAACGACCTATTTTTTCGAAATATGTGGGCCGGTGCAGATGGACTTGTCCCGCTACAGAGCATAAAGGAGAGGATAAACTACGCCGTTGACCAATGAGGTTTTCTCCACAGAAAATACATCAGAAAAAAGAAACTGCCTCAAAAACAAGGTCCATCTAAACAGACAAGCCACCAGCACCCTCAGTGAAATCCATCACGGGTGTCACGGAGAGAAACAAGTGAATTTGTCATGGACATCAGACACGTCATTTATATAGAAATGTCAGCATAGCATTCTCATAATGATGGAAACAACAACGCTGAGGGCTTTGGGCCTCGCACTCTGATGCCTGTGTGCAAACGTCACCAATAATGTGTCTTTAGTCTAGACATGTCAGGGCTCTGTGGGATCTATATCCACGCCTTTTTGTCAGCGCCTTCAATCTTCCCTGTTGCTCAAGAGCTAAGTGCAAGAGATTAATAAGTGGATTTGTAATGCACAACCTCAGGTTTGACACTATAAGTCATCGGCTGTTTATCGCTCTGGCTTTCTCACCAGATTGAAAAATGGCAGACGCTGAGTAAGTTAGTCAGCCAGGCCTCCCAACCCCACCCTGCACCCCGCCACCCTCCTATTTCAACCCCCCCTCCCCATACTTCAGGACCGGGAGGTACAGTATACTGTAGCAGCTAATGAGCAGCTTGTGTCTTTTCTGTGTTTGTTTCCCTCTGGCAGACAGATGATGTGACGCAAACAGAGGGCTCTCAGCAGCTCCAGCTCCAGCACTCAGACTCTTCAGAGAAGCAGCAGCCCAAAAGGTTACATGTCTCCAACATTCCCTTCCGCTTCCGGGACCCTGACCTAAGGCAAATGTTTGGGGTGAGTACCTTCAAGGAAAACTCTTGGGTCTTATTTATTTTTTTGTAGTTTTGGCCTTTATCTATTGGTTATGGTAACGCTGCATTTGTCAAGTTCATTGCTGAGAACGTTGTAACGACACAACAAAAAAGTAGTCCTGTGATCAGACAGGTCGTAAACAAATCAACTTGTCATAGATCATCTAAAGACGAACCAGCTTATTAGGAGGTAAAACAGAAATGTAGTACACCTGAAACGATGTTGGTAGAGATCCTCCACCTTGCCTGACACAAACAGCTCCTCCACTAACAGCAGTAGAAATTATTATTACACTTTATGACTATTTTTTTTTTTTTGGCTTATTAACCTTCATGAAAAACTAGCAGCGTTGCGGCGGCCAAATCACATTACACAGACCACATATTTAATGAGCATGGCCGGTGCTTAAAAAACTGTCATCTGGTAACTACATTGTCAGGGAAAAAAAAAAAAAAAAAAAAAACCTCTTCTGAGTTTTTACAAGTCAGGAAAAGTGGAGAAAAACAGCCCAGTCAGTCTCAACCAGGTGCTGATGTGCAAGAAAAACCTCATTGCTGCAGGCCAGACACCAGGCTGAGGTTAGAGGAGATATGCAACCCAGCACCGGTAACGAGTTCACTGTTCGTCACTGTCTTCTACCCCGTCAAGACTGCTACTTAGATAGACCGAGTCCCCAAATGTCGTTATTAGAAATGAACTTGAACTTGATGAGGACTCTGTTACTATTAACAATAGGAATGATGGATAAAAATAGAAAATAAAGTGGCGGCGTTATCTTCCATGTCTTCTTTCTTGGTCACTAGAGGTACACACACATCTGAGTGTTTTGTTCTCAACATGGAAAAGCTTCTTAAGTAGCTTTTAGACCATCACAGAGCATTAAATTGCCTGCTCAAAGTGGGGCTGAGGAAATTATGTTTCCTGATTACCTGTTTAGAGGTTACACACACAGGGCAGTCAGCTGCAGACAAAGGCAGTCATATTACATATCAGCATACCAAAGGTCCTCAACAGGAATTCTCTCTTTCTCTCTGCCTCTCGCCCAATTAATGAGGCGATGAATATTTCAACAGCTCACCCTTGTGTCTCACAAAAGCCTCAATAAGAATTGAACCAAACATCCCAAATTCAATAACGATAATGGATCTGAATGGAGACGATGGCCAAAAATGTACTTTAAATGTTATGCGCTAATTGGACCATTAGAACCCAGAGGCGTTAATTCTCATCGTTATGAAGACAACATCCAGTTGATGATATTAATTACAGCCCTGGCTGTGGCTTTATAAATCGCAGACAACATGGCTGCTCTCTCTCTCTCGCTCTCTCTCTCTCTCTCTCTTTCTCTCTCTGATTGTTGGCTTTATTGTTCCCAGCTCTGGTGCAGGTCGTGTGGAATCCAAATCGCCTCAGTAATTAGCTCGGAGGCTTTGTGTGCCTGGCCCGGCGTGTGCAGATATACGATACAAAATTGATCGCAGCCTACCCAGTCCCCCTCAATCAACCTCCTCACCCACATGTTGCCATATCCTCCTGTTACATTCCCCCCCTACCACCCCCCACGCCCACCCCTTCCCACTTTTGTGGTTTGGCATCAGTAAGAGGATTGTGGGATTGATTGTCCTGGGCAGTGCTTGGCAAGGAGATAGCTGGTCTGCTCCACCCTCTGACATGGCCTCCACAATGGGCCTTTGTGTGATCAGTGTGTGGAAAGCTTCATCCCTCTAGCTCTAATGGCTTCTGGAGCGCCACCGGCTCAATACGCCATTACTGTTACGCATGAGTGAAACCCACAGACATGCAGGCGGGAAGACAGAGGAGGAGGAGAGTGGAGGTGCTGCACGGGCCCCTAGAGAAGTCTAAGCCCCGCCAGGAGCTCCATCTGCTCTCACACAGCGTGGACAAACGTTTCAGCAAAGGTTTCAGCAGCAGTAGAATGCTTTGGAGCCAGCACCCTAAAACAAGAAGGGAGGGCCTGAGATTCACCCTGAACGCCACCGTGTTGCGGGTGTGGGGAAAACCTGTGAGCCTCTAACGAGGCGCCAAATGAAGGGCTCATTAGGACGACCACAGCGGACCTTAATCAGTAATTAGAAACTGTGATCTCTGAGCGCGAGCAAGTGTGCGGGGGGGGAATGAAAAAACTGCGAGTGCTGGCGAGCTCTGTGCAGCGCCCATGCTGCGTTACTTGAGGGTGCCCTCGTTTATGCGACTGGGTTCTGTAGCAGTGCTTCTCTCAGTGCATGTAAAGGGCTCTCGCAGCAGTTCCCACAGCAATCAGGACCTCTGCCCTCCCCCATCCTGCTGTCACGCTCACTGCTGCGCCTGAACATGCCCTACGCTGGCACGCTACTGTCTGAATACACGGGGCTGCTGCAGCGTAATTATAGGTTTCTTAAGAGCTTAAAGATATTCAAGCTAATCAAAGGTGGAGGCTCAGTGGCCTTGATCTTGTTTGTTGTTTCTGAACAGGGAGGCTTACGGCACAGGAAACACTGAGTATCATAAGTTCCTTTTTTTTTATTTTAGGAAAAAGGCAGCAAGTCCACACCAGTGTGTTTACAAGTTTTAACTTCTCAAGTGCAAGTCACGAGTACTATATCTTTTATTGGCCTCTTCGTATGCATGCTGTGCTCTTTTAGATGTATTTTTTGCTGCTACTCCAGGCAGCCATTGGTTTCCATTCATTTCTGTGTAAATGCCACACTCCTGAAACTCGCTTGACATGTGTAATCCAATTTCTCTTTACTCCGTAATGTGTTTTAAGTGCAGCATGATTTTGGAAAGTCTCCACAGCATTTCCTTAATAACAATAACGTAATGGAAGCCATAAGGAAATAGAAATGAATGGAAACCAATGGATACCTGGAATGTTGGGAGAAGAAAAAGAAAGAAAAAAAACTGTCTCAAATGTAGCAGCACACTCAGCTGTAATGTAAAAATATGAATGGGATAAAACATGTAAAACCACTGGTATGGGTTGAACTTTTTTTTTTTTTTGATTTTATCTCCATATTGATATTGAGTCGTTTTTATAGTCTGTGGATGCATGGATCCAACTGCAGCCTCTTTAATGATGTCAGTTTCTCCCTTGTCTTCCCTCTGGAGACTCCTCCCATTGAAGCTATTGTTTATCGGTGCTGCTGATGCAGCTGTTTCTACGTGTGTGTGTGTGTGTGTGTGTATGTGTGTGTGTGAGTGGGTGTGAGTGAGTGGGTGGGTGGGGATAGAAGTGCACGAGATCACTGGTGAGCAGCGAGCAGTCCCCAGCGCCATGTGGAAATCCACAAAGACGACTTCCTCTGAAACTAATTAATCGACGCCACAAACCCATTACGCTCGGTTAAAACAATTAGCATCTGCACATTGCATGGGGGAAGCATTGTCATCTCAGGCGAGAAAGGGGCATCACGCTGGGATATAAATGCCTGCGTGTGTGCGATCGAGCCGACGCTTCCCATTCAAATCATTGGAGCCCAGCGCCATATGAGGCAGATGTGTGGATGGGAATCTATGGAACAGACATATAGGGGGAGGAGATACACCCCTGCTGAAACAGAGGAGGTCTAAATAACTAACTCTTTTCCCTTTTTGATCTTGGTGCGGTGTGGTCACCGCATTACCCTTTCAAGTGGGAGCGGACATATGTTTTTCGTTAACCCATAAACCCTCAGCTCCTCAAGCCCAAGCCAGATAATAGCCAGCTCTCCCTAACCCCTATTAGTGGCGATCCATCCGTTCCCATCGAGCGTCGACCACATGGAAGGCCCATTTCTTCCCTGTTGTGCCGGAATGAAGGCGACGCGGACCGCTTGACGGGGTAATTACTTTTAATGAAATAATACGGCCATTGTAGACAGCAATTAAAAGTCGCTCTCGCTCCACTCATTAGAGGAACTTACAGTTTACTTTCATTCCTCTGTTTTCTAATGATCCGAAGGCAGGCCTGTTAAATCGAAAGGCTAGAGCATGTTAACCCCTGGGGACCGGCCCTTAGGTCCTGTTGACTGTGAGAGCACACAAACAAAGAGAGAGGAAGAGAGAATTAACAATAGAAGAGACTGAGAGAGGCGTATGAAAGGATAGAAAGGTACAGTCGGACGTGATCCACCGAACTCTCCGCAAGTCAGAGTGCGCTTTCCCTGGGTCATCATGGGATGTGGTGGTGGTGGTGGTGACGCTTCCTCTTTTCTCTTTGTGTCAAAACAAGCAAACACACAAACATCAGACATGGCGATAAGCAATCAAAGATCCCGTTTTTTATCTTTATATAGATTCTGTGATCTCCTCTCTGATGGTATTGATAGAAATACAGAAACGCATTAAAGCGGCGACTGTGAGTTCTCTTTTTAAAGCACGCCAGCGAGCTTCAAGAAGTGTTTGCCGAGCTAACAAATGCAAATTGACCACCATTTCCTCACAAAAGTAACATTTCCATATTGTCTTAATGGTTTCTCTTTTTCCAGTCGTCCTTCTCATGAATTCACAGCCAATGAGGCTTTCTAACACCGTCTCTGCCCCGCTCTTCTCTTTCTCTTCCCTCTCTGCAGCAATTTGGAAAGATTTTAGATGTGGAGATTATCTTTAATGAGCGAGGATCCAAGGTAAGTGAACTAGAACGCCAGCTGCTTCATTACCATGTACTTCTTCTGTTTCCTAATGATGGCATTAGTGTAGTGTGTACATTGGCTGAGAGTAGTGGTCTCTAAGCCTGGTCCTGGAGAGCTGCATTTCGCCGTGCCTCTCTTTCTCCTTCTCCCTCCCTCCCCATTGTTTTTGTTGTTGCAGCTCTAACCCAAGTTGTGAATCATTAGCCCTGTCAATCAATTCATTATTGAGCTGTTTCACAATTCACTTAATCCACCAGCAGGCTGCAGGTCCTCCAGCTTATGGAATTGAAACCACTTATTTAGGCACCTGGTCCTCTTTGAAGCCCGGGTGTTGATTAAAAACGATTCTACATTATTCAGGTTTTTATCATTTTGTTTTAAATATAAAATAATTCAGGATAATAATAATAATGTCCTCTGGGATGTTTTGAAAATAAAAGTAGTTTGGTTGAAAGAAATTTGGAGGCTAACACCAGCATTACCTTCTATCTCAAGCTTTGGACAAACACGACATCATCTGGTTGCTAAATGGAAGTTTTTGCACATTTATTGAAGGCTCACATCCAAGCTAATTTACTTAATGGTTTTAAAGGAGCCAGTAAAAAGGATGAGGCTGGCATTATTCTACCATTTTTCTTATTGCCAACAAATCCCAGCCATCAGTGTGTGAGTCCATCTCTCTGCACTTTCTGACCTGCCCACTCTGTCCGTGGCTCTCAGCCCCAAAACCCATTGTTTCCTACTGAAGATGTGACTCTTTAAAACTGGGTCACAGGTATACAGATCTGTGTTTATAAAAAGGGGCTCAGTAATTTCCTAAAATAGCTGGTCACTGTCTAAATAGCGCTGTCGTTGGGGACTATTGTCTGCGGTGGATTAATCCACATTTGGTTCTCTGGTGAGTAATTCCAGCAGCAGGACGGTGCGTGTGCGTGTGTGGGACCGAGTCAAAATAAACTACAGCGTGTCTGCGTTCATGGTAATGAAGGAAAATGTCACCCAGTGCAACCAGTGTGGTTCACTGATGTGTTTTTAATAGTTTTTGGAAACAATGGAGCTCCGTGGCAGAGGAGTGAGATATATCAGGCGTTTGGCTTTACACACACAATACTTGGGATTTGTTGACATTAATAAAATATAGAGTATAAACAGCCCAGTTCTTTCCAAGGCAGGTTGAACAGAAAATCAAAAAATATTGTATATAATTCAAATTTGACTTTGTGTCTATTTTTTGGCACGTCTCTGATCACAAGGCTAATTTAAACTCCCTAAACCAACATTACCAACAAGCCAGCTGAAAAATAGCCACAGCGCTGTTATGTTGCTGCAGTATCAGTCTCAGAACCACCTACCATGGACAGGTGAAGCCTGCGGAGGTGTGAACAGCCGAGTGCTACTCATCCAGCTGTTCATTTAATAGAGTGTACTAAGCTCCACAGCTTTCCATTCATAAAGGAGACAGGTTCCCTAGCTGGGTGTTGAGGCATGAATACTATTGATTCCCATTCATACCTGGGAGTAGTTGGGGCTCGTATACAGGCATGCAGGGAGCCCTGGAACCAGGCGACGCTGCTGCACTCAGCCCCCTCTGCCAGACAAGATTGAGCACCGGATAAACCTGCCTCCTCCGCCGTAACAAGCATTTATTGTTTGTGCCCTACAAAGCCATTACCCATGATGCCTCTCTCTCTCTCTCTCCCTCTCTCTCTCTCTCTCTCTCTCTCTCTCGCACCCTGTGTGCTATATAATGAACCTACCAGGCCATTAATAAACAATCTATTTCCTATGAAGCTTTGGCAATTTGCATTCAATATGTTTGTCTCCTTTGAAAAATGGTGGCTCCACTCGCCCCTCTTGTAAGCTAATTATTTGTGCATGATAAAAAAAAAAGATAGACGGGGTAACCACAGTCGGGTGAATGTCCAAAGGATTAATTTTGCCCTCAATTCCTTTTTTGAATTTATTTCTTTATCTCTCTTTCCCCAAGGACAGGTCCTGTGTTATTTATGCTAGGAATAGCAGCCCGGAGATCCTGTGTATGCATACAAGATCACACTGCTCGCCATCTCTCACATGTATTACATCCTCAAGCAATTATCAGGCAGCGCCGGCCATACTCCCTCTTCCCCTGCCCATACCTCTATAAGTATATATAGAAACCAAAGGAATGGGACTTGTTTGACCAGCATATCTTAATGCTTCTGCTATAGAGCTCAGGTCCAGTATCCCAGTCCACATAACTCAAGCAAGTGACAAACCCCCCAGGGGAGCGAGGGAGACAGAGAGTTGAGGGGGGAGGGGGGATGGAAATGAGAGGTTGGGTATATTTTGGTCAGGGTTTAAAGTCAATATCCTAGCTCTTCTCTATCATAGACGATGGTATTTGCAGTGACACCAATCACTTTTCTTTTCCTTTTTTTTCTTTTTTTTTTGCATCAGTGAGCCGGTGTAATTTTGCCTCTATAAAAACGTCCTACTTATTAGTGCAGTGAATTAGAAATAGTCAGAGATCAAGTTAACATCTCTCTTCGGAGAATTCCTCTTCATTCCTTCCCCTGTTGCCCACGTCTTCAAAGGGAGTCGGGGCCGTTTGAGCGTCCGCTGCTGCTGAAGTTGTGTAGATAATTATACGACTATTATGGCAGCTAACACAGTGTTTTGCATCTGCTGCTTCCTGACATTCACCCATGGCACCAGTGCTGTGCTGTTTAATTGGGTAAAGCAGGCAGGTTTGTTGGTGTTGTTGTGTGAGGTCATGTCACCGTTATCCTCTCCTCCTCGGATCTCTCTGTTTGCTGTTTCCTGACGCCTCACTAACTGCCTCTAATTAATCTGGCTGCTTACAACTCGACTCTGCTGCTCACCTACTCCTGTCTTCTCACCTCTTTCCCTTCTCTCCTCCCTTCCCCATTTCTTTTTCCTCTCTGTGCGTGTGTGAATATGTGTGGGTGTGTGTGTGTGTGTGTGTGCGCGTGTCCAACCCCCCCCCCCCCTCCTTTCTCTCTACCGGTGGCTAACTTGGCGCTCTCAGGGCTTTGGGTTTGTAACTTTTGAAACAAGCACAGATGCTGATCGTGCACGGGAGAAACTAAACGGTACAATCGTAGAGGGACGCAAAATTGAGGTGCTTTCATTTTTCCCTATTTCCCATCTTTTTCTACTTCCTGCCTGCTGCCTCCTAAACTTACCGACAAACCCATGCATTAGCATGTGGCTGCTATGTGTGTGTGTGTGTGTGTGTGGATATCTGCATCCCTGAGTGTGTGTGTGTGTGTGTGTCTGTATGTGTGTGTGTGCGCGCCTGGATGCATGCATGCATAATGGTGCATATAACTTGTTCTCAGTAGAATGCAGGACCCGTATATGTCAACCTGGACACGCCAGTTGTCCATCATCACCTGACAATGGAGAATGAATGCATGCTATCATCTTCTGGGTTCCTGTCAAACCCGAGAAGACCTGCATTCCCCTGTCACCATCGTTTAGTGCTGCCTGCTCTAATTCTTCTCGTGTTTGCGATGAGCCGAGCCCCCACTCAGTCATTCTCATCAGGTCAATAGAAGAAAATCAAAGCACTGTCTGTGTTTTTCTTTTGGAATCCATTTGTTTATCCAACCAATTACTGATTTTGTAGGATGCTCTCTTTTTTATTTTTTTTTATTCATACCTGTGGGTAATTGGTGCATGCTTTCCCCTCCTTTCCAGTAATTTAATAATGTGTAAGAAAATTGAAACGATGAATAAATTCATGAAAGGTTGAACCAAACTCAATCACACCAAAGTGCTAAAAACATATTTACATAATCATTTATTTTTTTATCTGTTACTTTATGAATTTGTCTTTGTGCCATCTTGGTTTGCTGCTTGCTTGTGGCCCATCCTGGATATCTGGATAGTAAACGTGAAGGTCGGTAATCACGGGCTGTGTGTTTTGTTGCTTTGAACAGGTGAACAATGCAACAGCACGAGTGATGACAAACAAAAAAGTGGCCAACCCTTACACGAATGGTAAGTGCCTACCTATATCTAAAAACACTCAAAACAACTGAAATGTTCATTAAGTTCTCGCTGTCAGTGGAGTTTCTGCTTGTTCACCAGGCTGGAAGCTGAATCCAGTGGTCGGAGCTGTCTATGGTCCTGAACTGTATGCTGGTAAGAGACCTACAGCCTCTGCACGTAGAATTTTGAGTGTTTTTCTCTCTGCCTTCCACCACATGCACTGCAGTGTACCTGAGGCCACTATCAGCCGCAGCCAAACCCAATCTGACCCCTGAATTTCTACAATCGGGTTCATCCTGAACCTACTGAACATGAAATTCCCCTCAAATCAAAGTGAATCTGAGAGCGGCCCAGATAAGCAGTGGATGATCCAAGCCTCTGTGAGTGGCTGAAGCAGCCTGAGCCATTGTTTGCACGGTGTGCAACTGTAAAGCTGAAAAAAATGATTTCAAGAGCAAGCGCCCCTGCAACTGTTATCAGATTGTGGAGGCTGCTGCTGTGGATGGATTTGCCAAGTGCGCCAGATTGACTTTTACAGAGCTAACCGAATAAGGGAGATTGAGTGAGCGATATTGTTGGCACCTACCCTGTCGAAGGCCGCTATTCCTTCTGGTCTCAGTAATGGAGGAATGAGATGAGCTCAGTGGGGTTTTCCCTATCTCTCTGTGCCTCGACATGCCAGCTTTATTGCTGTATGTTATATGAACCCTTTGCATTTTAATGAGGGGGAAATGGTACTATTTCATTTGGAAGAAGTGCTGAGCACATCGCGCCACTTTAACGGCTTTCCTTTCTGCTCATTAGACTAAAATCTGTTCATTCCCCGGACAGCTTTACGGCGAACCTCTAAATAACTGTCCATGACAGAAAGCAGTCATCTATCATTTTTATTTCATCCCCAACCCCTCACCCCCTCCATGCCTCCTCCCCTGCCTCCCACCCACCTCCTCCTCCTCCTCCTCCTCCTCCCCCCGCCCTTCCCTTGGTTTTTACATCCTCCCCTGA